GTATTGTCAAAGGGTTCATTTGCACTTTAATTCTACGCCCCCTTGATTCCCCAAGTGGGGAGTGTCCATACTACGTGCTTCAACCATACAAGGTTCTTACAGTAGACAATTTCTTGAGGGATGGCCCAACATCTGGCTGTGGTTTTACTTCAGGTTCAGGCTCCTTCTTTGGCTTTGCATCGACCTTCTTTAACCTTGTTCCAGAGAGAACACCTGCGTTGATGATGTTTCCAAAGCCCATCCCTCCTCCCATCTTCTTCGCCTGACCAATAATGGAAGCTCTCTTGTTTCCTTCTTCTTCATCTGAAAATTAAAGGGGGAAAATGATGTTATTGGGTGGTTTTAATAGCCTGTTTCAATGGGAAATTTTTGACCGAATTTAAAAATTTAGAGAATCAGGAAATAATATCTTTAAATCAGTCTACACATTGGTTGTTGAAATGCTAGTTGGCGAAGGAAACATCAAACTTCACAGGTCGCACTGCAATGACAATGGTAGCATACTGTAGGTGATGTAGCGGTGACAGCACTCGCCTCTCATTAATACTACCTGGGTTGGAGTCCTAACAGGCTTGGCATTGTATGAGAGTAAAATTGTTTTTTGGTTCTCTCCTGTGCTTCAAGGGTTTTTCTCCGGGTTCTCTGGTTTTCCTTCCTTCACAAAAATCAACTCCTAAATTCCAATTCAATCATGGAACAAGTGCCACAAGTTTGATAGCCACTGGCTATTAAAGTGCTACTATGACGAAAATCGCTCAAACTTGGATTCAGCTGAAACTTCCTAAGAATACTCTTTAAAGGTCCAATAATCACTGTATGAAGTGTTTTCTCGATATTCAGGACGAAAGTATGATATTTTTACGATTATTTTTTGGAGTCTGTGACGTCATACACTCAACATCGAACATCGTACCATACATTTCTTTGTAGTTTATGATCAAAATATCAGTAGTAAAGGGAGAAAGAAATACCCAAACACCCCAAAATATGAATTATAATCACAAGTAATGTGAAATAAGCACATTAGCCACCCTTTGGGCTTCATAGGAATAAAATAAATTAAGGATTTATATACAAAGAAATATATGTAGCAATGTTTGATGTTGAGTGTATGACGTCACAGACTCCAAAAAATAATCGTAAAAATATCATACTTCCGTCCTGAATATCGAGAAAACACTTCATACAGTGATTATTGAACCTTTAAAGAGTATTCTTAGGAAGTTTCAGCTGAATCCAAGTTTGAGCGATTTTTGTCATAGTAGCACTTTAAGTATTGCCTTTGTAACACATGGCAGTTAAACAAGTAACTTTGTCAACTTGGAAATTCCAATTCAATGATTGAACAATGGCCACAGCTTTGTTAGCCACTTTCTATTAAAGTGCCTATCACCCTTCTGACAATATTCACAGTATTGATTCTACATGGGGTAAGATGTGGAAAAGCCCGAAAATATTTCATAGTTTGAGTGCGGCTTCTTGAAGTTATAAAGGTTTTTCCATGCCATATGCTAATGTTGTGACGTATGAGGAGTAATCATTTAATATACAAAACCTTACTGGCACAGATAAATTAAATTTGAAATACGTCATTGTTTTCCCCATTGCTCTTATAAAAATTATTGCATGCTATTTTTCACATAGAAGCCGGTGTTTCGAATTACGAGGAACAACAAATAACCATAAATGCCTCCTCATACGTCACCGCATTAGCATATGGCATGGAAAAGCCTTCATAACTACAAGAAGCTGCACTCAAACTATGAATTTTTTTCAGGTTAATCGACATCTTATTCCATGTAGAATCAATACTGAGAATATTGTCAGAAGGGTGATAGGCACTTTAAATGCTGACTTAGTAACACAAGGACGGAGTAACAAAGTTTTGGGCCTTGAGATCTTTACTCATGAAGAACTCAAGATGAGAGGCTAGTTATATCATTGAGTTGATAAGAAATTTTAATACTTTACAAAGAAGATGCACACTTTACCTAGACCAGGTTCCTTCATCTCTTCTTTAGGTGGAGGAAGTGGAGGTGGTTCATTTTCTTTCACAAGTTCAACAAAATTTGACGGAAAGACACCAGATTTACCACCAAACTTCCCCTCCCACCATCCTTCCTCTACTTCACAGATCACTTCAATTATTTCTCCATCTCTTAATGACAGTTCATCTTCATTAAGAGCATCGTAATCAAAGAGAACTTTAGCTTTTTTACCAGCTAAGGAATCTGTGAGACAAATTAATTAAACCATTTTAGTTTGGGCACAATATTGTTATTAATTCCTTACCACATGCCTTCCTCTGTCAGGGAGGTAAGGATATTCTCTAGAGCTACATAATATACCCTCCTCAGACCCTCCCCACCCCTTGGAAATTCCAATCCTCCTCTGTGGGAGAGGTATGGATATTTTCTGAAACTAGTATAATATACCCTCCTCAGACTCTCTCCACCCCTTGGAAATTCCAATCCCCATCTGTGATAGCCTCCTTTGTCATTAGGGTCGGTCACAACAATTTTCTCACTACATGACAACATACAAGACGACCCTGTCTGCATTGAATGTTGCCCCTGTGGAAGGGGGGGTGGTATGGAGTACCACCATGAATTAAGCTGGGTTGACACATCTAGGGGTATCTTCAAACTGTCTCCCTTAATCTCCGAGTGAATCCACTGTTTAATAGCACTGAAACAATACAAGACAAGGTCTGTAAACAGAATTAGAAAAATTCGAATTCCTCTATTTATTCCTACTTATTCTAGTAGAGTGCTTTTAGTCTCACCATTGAATAGTAGTTAGATAAATTTATCTAACTTAGATAACTATTCAGTTGACGTCACCTAAAATAGTAAAAGCACGCCAAATAACAGTCATGCTAATCCAGGGGTTTGTTCTATTTACTAGAGAATGAGTGAATAGACATTCATTTGTATCATCGTTTCTCCCCCTGATCTCAGTAGCTGTTTACTCGTAGTTTCAAATTTAGGTGACGTCATCTAAAATAGTAAATAACTAATCTAATTTAGTTGACGTCACCTATTCAATAGTGAGACTCAAAGCACTTTATATGTTTTTATTTTTAATCCAATGGCTGAAAATCCTACGACCTAATTACCATACTGCTCATAATTCCTGGATTCAATCCAAGGCATTCAGTATTAAAACTCACCAAATAAATTTAGGTGTGAAAAACAAGAGATTACTTTGATAAATAAGTCGTATAATAACAAAATGATAACGTAGAAATGGATGGTTGGATATACGTCAAAAGATGAGGCTAATAAAAACGACACAGACAGATACAAACAATGAAAAATTGTACTTCCAACTATAGAAACAAAGTAAAAGGTCAAAGATATGTCTAAACTTGTGCTTTCTTTTAAACAATTAATACAGTTATTTTGGAGTTGTGTTGATAAAGGGAACAACTTTTAATTTTTAGAGATCGTACGCTTGGTTAACCATAAATTATAAGTCTTATCTCATTATGCATATAACGTCAAATTCAAGTTAGATCTCAGCAGAGTGCTAAAGCCTTGTCGGCCATAGCCGGATATTTCATTAAAAACATACCAAAAATCGAAGAACTTAAGAAAGATAATATCTCTTTGGAATTCAGAAATAAAAGCTGAAATCAGAATCTAAATATTTTCAATGGATATTGCAATTTAAATTCCAATGATTTAAATTTCGAAGTTTTTATTTACCTTTGGAAGGGGGCTTTGAATGAGGGGGAGCTTCACCAGCAATAAACTCCACAAAGTTGTTCGGAAAAAGTCCTGTCTTTCCATCCAGGAACCCTTTACACCAGCCTTCATCCTCGTCTGTTATATCCTCGATGATCTGGCCGATTGCTAAATCCAATTCATCATTCTCTGTCGCCTTGTAGTCGAACGTAACCCTTGCTCGTCGACCTGAAACGGAAGCAATAAGACGATGCAAAAAAACTCTTCCTCAAAACTTCCAAAAGTCGTAAATAATTTTTGCTTACGCTCTTCGAGATAGAGTACTTACTCATGTTGGATGCACAATGGTTTTTAGCTGAATTGAACGCTTTTAAAGGCAAAAAATGGACATATTTTAAAGTTGGAGTTTAAAACGCTGACACTTATTTCCAGTTGGTAGGAGTTCCTTCTACAACAACATACCCGCTGGGAATCATGGGTATGGAGAAGGAAACCTCGCCTGTCACGCTATATTGTAACGCAAAATGTCACGCATCTTATTTCCGACTCCAGTCTAATCTTTTAAAAATTTACCTTTYACATGAGCATGAATGAAATTCAGGCAAGTTAAAACCGAGTCGTAGCGGCCAGCGGCTACCCACCCCAATAATATGCGGTGGGGGTGGGGAATGGGGCGCGTTTTTGCTAAGGACTTAGTGGCAGCTTTGCCAGCAGTCTTGGTAGCTTTGGCTGTGAGCGTGCAGCAAAAAAATTTT